TGTCACCAGGCTACCATTGCTCTGCTTTCTCTCACTGCATTTGAATTTTTATTTTCTAGAGATTTTTATAAATGGAAATATGCAGTATGTACTTTTTTGTCTAACTTATTTTACTTAGCATAATTAATTCACATTAATTAGTTTGAGATTCATTCATATTGTAGTGTGTTCATCCCTTTTATCACTGAGTACTATTCCATCATATGGATGTGTCACAGTTTGTCGATCCATTCACACAATTCACAATTGGGTTGCTGACTCTTTCTGACTTTACAAGTAAAGCTGCTGTGAACATTCATGTACAAGTCTCGTTTGGAAATATACTTTCTTTTCCTTGAGATTGAAATGGTTTGATTATGTGGGAGTTGTATGCTTAGTCTTTTGCAAAACTCACAAACTGTTTTTTAAAGTTGCTGTACTCTTTTACACTCCCATTGGCAGTTCATGAGAGTTAAAATACCTCCACTTTCTTACCAACACTTGGTATGATCAGTCTTTTACATTTTAATCATTCTAATAGGTGTGTTTTGTTTATATGAGTAATAATTTTGAACACCTATCTTTTCATGGACCTATATACCATCTGTATCTTTTGTCCATAAATTGTATATTCAAATCTTTCCTACTTTTTAAACTGGATTATTTGTTTATTATTCAGTTTATAATTTTCCTGTATATACAGGATACAAACTCTTTATCAGACATATGCTTTGCGAATATTTTCTCCCAGCCTCTGGACTGTCTTTTCGTTCTTCTAAACAAAGTAATCTAGGAGCAGAATTTTAATTTTGATGATATTTCGTTTTTTTTTCGTTTTGTTTCTTAATAGATCCTGCTTTTGGTGTTGTAGCTAAGAAACCTTTGCTAACTCACAAGGTTGCAAAGATTTTTTGCCTATGTATTTTTTCTATAAGTTTAATAGATTTATGTCCTAAATTTAGGTCTATAATTCATTTTGTGTTAATTTTTGTATGTGGTGTAGACATATACTGAAGTTTATTATGATTACTTTTGCATAAGGGGACCTAATTGCTTCAGCAAAATTTCTTATGAAGGCTATTCTTTTTCCATTGAATTACATTGGTATTTTTGTCAAAAAGTAGTTGTATGAATATGTGGGTCTTTTTTGGAACTCTCTATTTTATCCCGGTGATCTATTTGTCTATATTTATACCAAAATTAACTACCTTGGTTATCATAGCTTTATAGTAAAGCTTGAATTCAAGTAGTATTAGACCTTTAATTTTGTTCTTTTTAAAAAAAAATTGTTTTTAGTTGTTCTAGGTCAATTTGCCTTTCCATATGAATTTTAGAATCTGCTCGTCAGTTTCTCAAAATTATGCTGGAATTTTAACCAGGATTGAATTGAATTTATAGATGAATTAAGGGAGAATTAGCTTTTTAATTATTTTCAGTGTTCTAGCTCATGGTATATCTCTCTCCATTTATTTTGTCTTCTTTGTTTTTCCTTAACAAATCCTTGTAGTTTTCATTCTAAAAGTCTTTCACGTCTTTTTTTCAGATTTATTCCTAAGATTTTAATACTTGTAGTGCTTTTATAAATTGTTTGATTCTTAAAAATTTCAGTCTTCAGTAATTTGTTGCTCATATAAATGTATATACAAATATGCATTTAATTTTTGTATATTCATCTTGTATCCTGCAAACGTGCTAAATTTACTTTTTAGTATTTTTATAGATTTCGTCAGATTGTCTATAAATCATGTTATCTGTGAATAAACATGGTTTAATTGTTTTTGTATGTCTTTTATTTATTCTTACTACACTGGCTATAACTTCTAGTATAATATGGAATAGAAATGATGAAAGGTAACCTCTTTGTCTTTTCCTTGATCCTGGAAGAGGAGCATTTAATCTTTGGCAATTGAGTATAATGTTAGCTATAGGTTTTCATAGATACTTTTTATTAGGTTAGGGAAGTTTTCTTTTATTCCTAATTTGGCAAGAGTTTTTAATCAGGAATAGATGTCAGATTTGTCAAATGTTTTTCTGCATCTATTGAGATGATTTAAAAAATTTTTTTTGAATTTAGTTTTTTTAAAAATTCTAATCATATAGTAAATTGCATTGATTTTTTAAATGTTAAATTAACCTTGCATAACTGAGATAAACTCTACTTGATAAAAATAATTACCTTTTTTCTATTATTGGATTTAATTTGTTAAAATTTTGTTTACATTTTGAATCAGTTTTTCTGAGGGACAGTGGTCTTTAGTAGTCTTTTCTTAATTTGTCTTTGTCTTATATTGATAGGTAATTATAACCTCATAGAATTAGTTCAGAAGTAGTCTCTTATTCTCAATTTTCCGGAAGAGTTTGTGTTGGATGGGTATTATTTCTCACTTAAATGTTTGGTAGAATTCACTAATGAAGCCATCTAGGCTTTTAGGATTCTTTATTAGAAAATATTTAATTACAAATTCAATTTTTAATATACGTTAGGGCTGTTCAAGTTGTTCAATTTAGTATCATAAGGGTTTTTTTTTTTAAATCTGTATTCTATTATTATTTTCTTAATTTGTATAGAATCAAATTAAAGGTGGTAACGGCACCTTTCTCATAGACGATATTGATAACTAGTGCCGTTTTTTCTTGATCACTCTGCCTAGAGGCATATCAGTCTTATTATTGATCTTCTCAAACAACCAGCCTTTGATTTCATTCATTTTTCTTGAATGTTTTTATTTTTACTTCCTTGATTTCCACTCTTCTTTCTTTTTTCTACTTAGTTTTGGTTTAACTGACTCTTCTAATTGCTTTGCATGGGAGATGAGGTCATCAGTTTGAGACCATTTTGTTTTCTAATATAGGTGTTTAGTGGTATACATTTGCCCCTAAATACTTTTTTTAGAGGCATCCCACAAATACTGGCATGTTGTACTTTCATTTTCATTCAGTTCAAAGTACTTTCTGTGTTTCCTTTTGATTACCTTTTTCGTCTCTGAGTTATTTAGAAGTGTTGTTGTTTTTCAAATATTTGGGATTTTCAAGAAATATTTCTGTTATTGATATCCAATTTAATTTCATTTTAACCAGTGAACATTCTTTGTAGGACTTTAATCCTGTAAAGTTTATTGGGACTTGCTTTATGGTCTGGAAAATGATCTACCTTTATAAATGCTCTATATGCACTGGAGAAGAATATGTATTATGTTGTTGTTGGGTGGCAGTTTTTTTATAAACAGCAATTACATCAAGTTGCTTGCTAGTATTGTACAAATCTTCTGCATCCTTACTGATATTTTGTCTTGAGCAGCTTTGAAATGTCTTGACTATAATTGTACATTTTTCCATTTCTTCTTAGATTTCTATTAGTTTTTGTTTCATGTGTTGTGAAGCTCTATTGTAATGTTCGCAAACATTTAGAATTGTTATATGTTCTTGATTGATACTTTCATCATCATGAGATGATAATTATGTTATCATCTGAAACCTACTTTGATAGCTTTCTCTTGATTAGTGTTAGGGTGGTATGCCTTTTCCATCCTTTTACTTGTGACTTGTTTATGTCCTTATATTTCAAGTGCACTTCTTGCATGTAGCATACAATTGGATCTTGTTTTATCCAGTCTTACAAATTGTGAGTTTTTTTGAGCATGTAAATTATACATTAGGTTGGCGTAAAAGTAATTGCTTTTAAATAGATTTGCCATACACTTTTGCATCAACCTAATAGTATGAACTAAATAACATAAACATTTTAAGTGATTAATGTTCCTTTCTGCTAGTTCTATAATTGCTGTCATTTTTGATTGATTGATTTTTCTCTTTATTATGGGTCATATTTTTCTGCTTCTTTACATGCCTGGTAGTTTTTTATTGAATTCCAAATATTACAAATTTTAACGTTGTTTTGGGCTAATTATTCTTGCATGCCTATAAATAATCTTGAAACAAATTGCTTGAAATAATTTGATTCTTTAGGATCTCGTTTTTAAGATTTGTTAGGCAGGACTGGCAAAGTGCTCAGTCTGATTTTAAATACTTCCCACTCCTGAAGCAAGACCATTTTTGTACTGTACTCAATGACTAATGAATTATGGATTATTTCAATCTGGCTGATAGAAACTAAGTATATTCCTGGTCCTGACCACCAGAAACTGTTACCTTTAATCCTTTTCTTTTTTTAAAAAAATCATTTATTATTATTTATTTATTTATTTTTTTGAGACAGTCTCACTCTGTCACCCAGGCTGGAGTGCAGTGGCGTGATCTCGGCTCACTGCAATCTCCGCCTCCTAGGTTCAAACAATTCTCCTGTCTCAGCCCCCCAAGTAGCTAGGATCACAGGCGTCCACCAGCACACCCGGCTAATTTTTTGGTATTTTTAGTAGAGATGGGATTTCACTATGTTGGCCAGACTAGTCTTGAACTCTTGACCTCAGGTGATCCATCTGCCTCAGCCTCCCAAAGTGCTGGGATTACAGGCATGAGCCAGCGCACCTGGCCACCTTTAATTCTTTTGGGTATTTTTTCCATGGTCTCAGGTAGTTTCCTCAAATGCATGTGTCGATTATTACTCATCTGAATAGTCGAGAGAAGCACACTGCCAATTTCATTGCCTTGTGCAGTCTTCTCTGGCACTCCATCCTGTGGTTTCTAGCTGTTACTCAGAGTCTAAGCTTTTTCCCAAATCAGCATGTCCACTGGACTCTGGCTCAGTCAGTTCTCCTTCTTGTGCCATGGCCTGGACTCTCTTAAAGCAGCAAGCTGGCATAATCATAAGTCTCACCCTATCATCTACTGCCTTTCCTGGATCAGTGTCTTACATTGCTCAATGGCCAGTGATTGGTACTTCATCTTGTCTGGAAGCACAAGTCAAATTAGAAAGATTCCTAATTGTCCTTTTTTTTCTTTCTTTTTTTTTTTTTTAAACATTTTCATTCACATTAGGTGAACTACTCTAGCATTTTTTACTTTTTTAGATTTGTCTCTTATAACCAGTTTATAATTAATGTAGGAAATGTCTTTTTATTTAGCTTTTCCTGAGGAATCTCCTTGTTTTGAAGAAAACATGGATTGGAAAATCATCAGTGATAATTATTTTCAATTTTTGAATAATCTACTCAAGTCTCCAACAGCTTCCATATCCAGGTAAGTTATCAGAATTCAACTTCTAGGTCTTGATTTAATTATCATCTGAAGATAATAAAAATCTAATTATAGGATATACATTCTTTAAAATTTATGAGCCTGATTTAGATATTGACACAATCTTTCATGTGAGCTGTTCAATAAATATTTCTTTAATAGAATGTATGACTCAAGTTTCAAGTTGCTTAATAGAATGTATGAATCAATGGATTTTGAAAGGAAATACAGATTGTAGAAAGAAGATTTTCCTTCAATAATAACACAATTTGTAATAGATGCTTCAAAAATAAGGTATTTGTTTTTGAAAAATTGTCTTAGCTAGTTGCCTAGAGTTTAAACAGGAAATCAATACTATAGATTCTGTTAGTTTCAAAGACTCCTGGGAGGGAGAAGTGGTCTTTGGAACTAAATTTGTCAGACTATTTTCTGCTGTCCTATTTCAGCACATGTATTGAAATGCAGATTTTTATGTATGGTTATGAACAGTGTGTCCAGTTTAAAGGTATACTCTGTTATCTGTGGGGTGTGTTGGAACATGACGGGAGAGAAGTTTTTCATAAGAGCAGTAACTCTCAAATTTGAGAATGTATTAAATCTGTGAAGATCGCTAAAAATAAAAATGCTTGCCCCTTGCCCCAGACATAGGAAATTTTACTCTGTGTACAGGACCCAGGTTTCTGTATATTTCACACATTCTATAGGTGGTTCCAGTGCACAGCAAAGTTGGAGAACCATTCTGCTGTATCTGTCTAAAACGGGGATTAGTCATTCCTATGGAACTTCTTAAGCCCAGCTATTAGTAGGAACAGAAGAAAGGACAATGGGATGGACCCTCTAGAGAATCAATTCCTTGCCTATGTCAGATTTTTAATTCCTCTTTCCTGAGAGCCTCAAAAATTTAACAGCCCTGGAAAACCAGCACAAAACTAGTCTATTTGTGCACAAGGACACATTTAACTTTATATTTGTAGACCCATAGCAGTTGGCACAGTGTCTTTCATCATGGATAGTAGTAGATAATTAGATGTTGAATTAATGAATGAAAAATCATTGAACGTTAAGCACAATTTATATTAACAAAGCTGAACTTGAAATGACAAAACCTGGGTGGTCTCCTAGGCATGCTACATAATAACAGCTTGAATCTGCCAATTAAAAAAATAAAAAGTTTCTTTTTTCATGAAAGGGAAATAATGACGTGTACTTCAAAAGGCTGTTGTAGGAATTAACTAAGATTGTAGTTGTGAAAGTGCTTTATAAGCTAAATTACTAAAGTAATATAAAAACATGTGGCAATAATACTATTAGTAATACCACTTCTACTTCAATTTATTATTCTATTGCTACTCCATAACCCTCTCAGTTCCATTTCAAATGGAACTGTCTTTATCCAAATAAAGACAGTTTTATGTTCTCCTCTATCAAGGCACAATGACTTGGATGATAATTAGGCATCTATTCTTAGGGAGGGCTGGATTTAGGCAAGGTTTATGTTGAATTCCTAATAGAACTTTCTCTTTCCTGATGGGATTTTTTTTTTTCCCCAAGGAATTATTTCAAAGAAGTCATTCTGTCCTAAAAATAACAACTAACTAAATTAGGCCTATATTTTTTTGTATGGGGTGCTCAGATGTTAGCTATCAGGGAGGTAAACAGCATTTTGCCTTTAATAGGTCTTGTGTCTGTCCTATGTCAGAGAGTGTGTTATACAACAGGAGCAGAGGGTTAAAAAACTTCGGAAGTAGTTTACCCTTTAAGGCATAAATAGCCAATAAAGGTCAAAAATTCCTTACCCACAATGCTGAACTCTTACAAAGTCTGAAAATAGAGGCTTTTCTTATAGTTGATATCACAGCTCATTCAGCAGAGATTTAGCATGAACTGATGTGAAGCAGTTTCAAGAGTATTTTCTTGCTCCGCAAGATCATTCACAGGTCTCACTGCTGAAGTGTTAATATGTTCATGATCAGGGCTGCCCCAGCCCTCACTGAGGTGCATGAATACATATCTGATACCTGTACCATGCTGCGTTTCTAAAGGATGAACATCCTGAATTCTGAAACACATGTAACCCCAAGAATGTCAAAAGTGGATTTGTAACTTCTGAGTCAGTAGAAGTTAGTTCTTCAAGTGTGGGTTTCTATTACAAGAGGGGACTTACAGTGACTGAGTTGCTCTTCTGAGAACTCTGTATTTTAAAATTAAACACCTGGAGATAAATTACCCCATATATAATAATGAGTTTCTAACAGTAGGATGTATGTAGTATTGTTGAAAGAGCACTGGAATTGCCTTCCAGGACAGGGAATCCCCACACCTTCCTTAAACCATACAGGCATGGTTTCTAATGCACTCCACTATTTGTACTACCTTTATATGCTAAGACATTTTGAAATGGAATTAAATCCTAGGATTCTTCTGACATAAATAGCGAACTTGTCTTTAATAATCATACATATTACTGTTAAATATGCCAGGGGAAAATAATTAAGAATGCATTCTTTTTGGTAGTAGGAAACATTTTAAGCTAAATGTATATAACTTCATTGTGGATTTCTAAAACACTTTCAAATGCTCACATTAGTTTAATTTCTGTTGAAAAACATGTTGTCTATTAAATGTTTCATTTGTGTTTTACTATCAATAAGTGAGTATTAACTTGGAAATGTGATAAATCACATTTATTTTTTATTTTATATTAAAATAATTCTACTAATATTACAGGGCTTTAAATTTCACAAAGCACCTTCTAATGATGGAAAAGAAGTTGCACACCCTTGAGGATGAACAAATGAACTTTCTTTTAACATTTGTGGAATTTTTTGAGAAATTATTGTTGCCTAATCTTTTTGACTCCTCCATCGTTCCCAATTTCCATCACCTCCCATCTCTCACGGAGGATATTCTGAATATAAATTCTCTGTGGACAAATCATTTGAAAAGTTTAAAGAGAGACCCATCTGCCACTGGTGCTCAGAAACTCTTGGAATTTGGCAAAGAAGTGAGCTGGAAAATGCGAACTCTCGAAAGTCACTGGATAAGGAAGGAACCAAAAAATCTTTTGAGATTCCTGGAATTAATACTTTTTGAAATTAATCCCAAATTACTAGAATTAGGGGTCTACAGCATTTCAAAAGGAAAAAGAGCTAAACTGGAAAACTTCTTTTCACTTTTAAATTTTTCTGTTCCAGAAAATGAGATTCTGAGTACAAGTTTTAACTTTTCGCAGTTGTTCCATTCGGATTGGCCGGAATCACCAGCTATGAACATAGATTTTGTACGTCTAAGTGAGACTATAATAAAGAGTCTCCATGAATTTGGATTTTTGGAGGAGGGAGAGGTCTCAGAAGTTCTGAACACGGTCTACGCTATCAGGAATGCATCTGATTTTTTCTCAGCCCTTTCTGAACCTCAAAAACAAGAAGTTGGTAAAATTTTGACTCAAAAATACCTAAATGTCTTTCAGGACAAGGATTCAGCTTTACTTCTGCAAATTTATTCTTCATTTTACCAATACATTTATGAATTTTTGAATATTCAGAGTAGAGGTTCTTCGCTGACTTACCTTACACAAATCTCAAAACACATTTTGGATATCATAAAACAATTTAATTTCCAAAGCATCAGTAAAGCATTTGCATTTTTATTTAAGGCAGCAGAGGTTCTTGGGGGAATTTCTAATGTATCTTATTGTCAGCAATTGCTTTCAATTTTTAACTTTTTGGAGCTTCAAGCCCAATCCTTCATGTCCACAGAAGGCCAAGAACTGGAAGTGATCCACACTACTTTGACAGGCCTCAAACAGCTGCTCATAATTGATGAAGATTTTCGTCTTTCTTTATTTCAATACATAAGCCAATTCTTCAACAGTTCAGTAGAAGGCCTATTTGATAATGAGTGCTCGATTTCGGACAGTAAACACATTCCTTCCATAAATTATTCAACAAGTGAGGAGACTTCATTTGTTTTTCCATTGGCACAAATTTTTTCAAACCTCTCAGCAAATGTCAGTGTGTTCAACAAGTTTATGTCCATTCACTGTACTGTTTCATGGCTTCAAATGTGGACTGAAATCTGGGAAAGCATATCTCAATTATTTAAGTTTGACCTGAATGTTTTCACATCTCTTCATCATGGTTTCACTCAGCTTTTGGATGAACTGGAAAATCATGTGAAAGTCTCCAAAAGCTGCCAGGGAATATTTCCCACACATAATGTTGCTAGACTCATATTAAATTTGTTTAAAAATGTAACTCAAGCCGATGACTTCCATGATTGGGAGGACTTCCTGGATCTCAGGGAATTTTTGGTAGCTTTAGGTAATGCGTTAGTTTCAGTAAAAAAACTTAACTTGGAGCCAGTGGAGAAATCCCTTTTCACCATGGAAACTTCCCTGCATCAGTTGAAGAGATTTCCATTCAACACAAGTACAAGCAGAGAGTTTTTAAATTCTCTGCTCAAAGTTTTCATTGAGTTTAGCAGTACCTCAGAAAATATAGACAGAAATGTAGATTCGATAAATGACTTTCTTTCAAATAATCTCACAAATTATGGAGAGAAATTTGAAAATATCATCACTGAGCTAAGAGAAGCAATAGTATTTCTTAGAAATGTATCACATGATCGAGATTTGTTTTCCTGTGCTGATATTTTCCAAAATGTTACTGAGTTTATTTTAGAAGATGGCTTTTTATATGTAAATACCTCACAGAGGATGTTACGTATTCTAGACATGATAAATTCCACATTTTCCTCTGAGAGCACAATTAGCAGGCTGAAAGGATGTGTTGTGTGGTTAGATGTCATAAACCATTTGTATTTGGTGTCTAACTCCAGTTTTTCACAAGGCCATCTTCAAAATATTTTGGGGAATTTCAGACATATAGAAAAGAAAGTGAACTCTATATTGAAAATTATAACTTGGGTGTTAAATGTAAAAAAACCTCTTTGTTCATCAAATGGCTTGCATATAAATTGTGTAAATATTTACTTGAAAGACGTAACTGACTTTCTAAATATTGTACTTACTACAGTCTTTGAAAAAGAGAAGATACCTAAATTTGAGATTTTATTAGCTCTTTTAAATGATTCCACAAAGCAAGTAAGGATGAGCATCAACAATTTAACAACAGACTTTGATTTTGCATCTCAATCCAATTGGAAATATTTTACTGAATTAATTCTAAGACCAATAGAAATGTCAGATGAAATTCCTAATCAGTTTCAAAATATTTGGCTTCATTTAATAACACTGGGGAAGGAATTTCAGAAGCTTGTAAGAGGTATTTACTCTAACATCCTGGAAAATAATTCCTCTTCTAAAACTGGAAACTTGTTAAACATATTTGCCACCAGTCCAAAAGAAAAAGATGTAAACAGTGTAGGCAATTCCATTTATCATTTAGCTAGTTACCTTGCCTTCAACTTATCTCATGACCTCCAAAATTCACCAAAAATAATTTCACCTGAAATAATGAAAGCCACGGGTCTTGGGATTCAACTGATGAGGGATGTGTTCACCTCCTTAATGCCTGCAGTTCATCACATTAGTCCACAAAATACAGGTTATATGCAAGTTTTGAAGAAGGTAACTTCTGTCATGCGTACTCTTAAGAAGGCAGACATAGACATTTTGGTGGAACAACTTGAACAAATTAGTGCAAGCCTAATGGATTTCTTTAGGAATATCAGTAGTGTGAGAACTGACAAGTTAGGGGTCAACTTGCTTGTTGACTTGATGAAAAAATTTGTAGACAGCTCGCATTCTTGGAATGTTAATCACCTGCTGCAGCTCTCACGCCTGTTTCCTAAAGATGCTGTGGATGCTGTGGTAGATGTGTACTATGTGCTTCCTCATGCTGTAAGGCTCCTACAGGGAGTACTTGGTAAAAACATCACTGAAGGCCTCAAGGATGTCTACAGCTTCATACTCCTTCATGGCATAACCATTTCAGATATCACCAAGGAAGACTTCACAATTGTGATAAAAATTCTTTTGGATATAATTGAATTAATATCAGATAAGCCAGATATTATTTCAGAGACTTTAACTTGTTTTCCTGTGGTTTGGTGCTGGAATCATACAAATTCTGGATTTCAGCAGAATTCAAAGGTAGACCCCTGCAGTGTCCATGGGCTCATGTCTTCTTCCTTGTATGGCAAAGTGGCCAGTATACTCGATCATCTCCACCTGTCTGCCCAAGGTGAAGATTCACCATGTTCAAATGAAACCTCCCGAATGGAAATAAATAGGAAAGTGGCCTGCATAATTCACGAATTAGTGGACTGGAATTCTATTCTTCTGGAACTCGCTGACGTCTTCCATGTTAACATTTCTCTTGTGAAAACTGTGCAGAAATTTTGGCATAAGATATTACCATTTGTCCCACCTTCAATAAATCAAACTAGGGATAGCATCTCTGGACTTTGTCCTAGTGGTCCCATAAAGCAAGTTGCTTTGCAAATCATAGAAAAACTTAAAAATGTCAACTTTACAAAAGTTACATCAGGTGAAAATACTCTTGACAAACTAGCTAGTTTAAACAAGATCCTTAACGTTAATGAAGACACAGAGACATCTGTTCAAAATATTATTTCCTCGAATTTGGAAAGGACAATACAATTGATTTCTGAAGACTGGAGCCTAGAAAAAAGTACTCATAATCTACTCTCTTCATTTATGATGCTCCTGAATGCAAATCTCACAGGTAGCAGTTCAGAAGCATTATCAAATTTTATTGAAAAGAATGAAACAACTTACAACTTTGAAGAACTATGGCCTGAGTTTCAACAAATCGTGAAAGATCTAACTCAAGATTTTAGAGTCAGACACCTGCTCTCTGAAATGAACAAAGATATCAAAAGTATAAATTCAGTGGCTCTTCAAAACATTACTTTACTATTTGCCCGTTTCCTGAAGATCCTGGATTCACAGTCACTGAAGACATTAGAAATTATTGAAGATTTTCTATTGGTCACAAAAAACTGGCTTCAGGAATATGCAGATGAAGATTACTCCAGAATGATAAAAACACTATTCATTCCTGTGATCAATGAGAGCTCAACTGAAGATACAGCTTTGTTAACCAAAGCTATTACTACTTTTTGGGGCTCTTTGAAAAACATATCTAGAGAAGGCAATTTTGATGTTGCCTTTCTTACTCATCTGCTAAATCAAGAACAGCTGACTAATTTCTCAGGTGTTCAGTTGCTTTTTGAAAACATCCTAATTAATTCAATCAATAACTTAGCTGGGAATTCTCAAGAAGCAGCTTGGAACTTAAGTGGTACTGACCTTCAAATAATGAATTTCATTAACCTTATCTTGAACCATATGCAGTCAGAAACTAGTAGGAAAACAGTTCTCCCTCCGAGAAGCATAGTAGGTTTCATGGAACAACTTTTGAAAACATTCTTATCCCTTTTGCTAAAGGAAGATTCTGAGAACAAAATATCTCTTCTGCTGAAAGATTTCCACAAAGATGTTATTGCAGAGATGAGGTGAGTCTACTTTTGCTTTGTGTCGTATATGTAGTTGTGATATATCTCAAACTACTTTATTTTCCGGAGTATAGGCATGTCAAAAACAATGTTTGTATCTAATACTTTTGAAATATCTTTGATGTAAATTTGTCTTAATAAATATTTTATCAAAATGTCAACGTAAAAGAATTTTGGTTACTGTCATCTAACTAGTAAAATATAAACCCAGTCCAGGGTAATTAATCACATATTATTCTTACATTTTTAGATTATGAAAACAATTATGAATTCCATTTTGTATGGATCTGAAAAATTAGTTTTCATAGCTGTACATGCATATACAGGATTGCCATAATTTGAATTGCTATACTAACTGTCTAATCACCAACTAGGGACTTAAATATTCTCAACCCAATGAATCTACTGTGATGCTTGCATTTAGAGACATAAAAAGTGATAGTCACATTATCTCTTTTTCATATATCTTCAAAAATCTCACTTGAAGTTTGCCAGTGAAAAGGCTGGAGGGAAATTCCAATTTATTCCATGATGTCTGCTTTAGTCAAGTTTCAATCAGAGTAACAAAAACCGTCAAAGGATTTAATCCAAGGAAATTAGCTTACACAATTTTGGGGGCTGGCTAAGTAAGTCTGCAATCAGTAGGGCCGACTGTCAGGAAGGGAGGCCCACAGCAGGCAGGGGCGCCGCAGGCATGAGTGAAAGCTCCTTGTCCACAGGTGGTTAGGAAGGAAGACCAGGGGAAGGGAGAGCCACTGACTATGAATACCCAGCGGTGATTTTGTGCCTCTAAGTTACAGAGGTTCTAAGCTCTCTTTCAGAGTTTTCCTGCCCACTCAGGACAGTATCCCTTCTGACTAATTTAAAATTAACTGATCAGGAATTTTAACTCCGTCTGCAAAATCTCTTTAGAGCAACACCTAGATTAGTGTTTGATTGAATAGCTGGGAGAAGATGTATTTATATTACACAATGGCTATAACTCCCATCTATCCTCCATCTCTCATGAGGGAATCTCCCCTATAGCCCACCCAGATGAGAAACATACAAGAAAGGGACTTCTGGGGCTATTATTCAGCCTAGTCACGTTGATACGTCTGTCTAAGCAATTTGCTAGTACTTCTCAAGCTCACAAAAGTATAAATATGCTAACCACTTTTCAGAGACTTATCTCTTACATCAAGAATCACATTGTAATCATTGTACCTTCTTTCCTAAGTAAAAGCCATTTTAACCTTTTTCGTAAGCAAAAGTATGTGGCTTTTTAAGTTGCCAGGTTCAAAATACTGTAATAGAATTTGTTCATGAAATTCCTCACTGTTTTCATGATTTGGCAACAAAATATTGAGTTTCATCTGAAATTATTTTAGCATGTCATCTTTTGCTCAGTATTATCCTCCCATGATGCTAGTATAAAACAAATAAAATAATATAAATCATTATATATCTTAATATTTCCACTGTTAATGTATTAAAAATAAAATTAAAAGTAAATAAATAAATATATATGTATATTTACAGTTTTGTCCCAAAAGATAAAATTCTAGAAGTTCTGAAACTGGATCAATTTCTTGCTCTGATGAAAGAAGACAGATTGAGGAACATTTTTTCAAGTTTAAAGGAGACTATATATCACCTAATAAAAAGTTCACTTATATTAGACAATGGAGAATTTTATTTTGATAGTCATCAAGGACTGAAGTTCATGCAAGATTTACTTAATGCTCTTCTCAGGGAAACGCCAGTGAAAAATGGGACTGAAAATACTACAGACTTTTTCACAGTGGTGAGTCAGTTGTTTTTCCATGGGAATACGTCTGGGGACCTCTTCAAACTCAATCAGGATCTTAGGGCAGCTCTTCACCTTGTAAGAGAATGTTCAACAGAGATGGCAAGGCTTCTGGATACAATTTTAAATGCTCCTAATAAGGAATTCTATGCTTCGTATCCTACCCTCCAAGAAGTTATACTTGCTAATCTAACGGATTTGCTTTTCTTTATAAATAATTCATTCCCTCTAAGAAACAGAGCAACATTAGAATTTACTAAGAGATTACTTGGTCCTCTTTCAAGAGCTGGTGAAGAAAGTCGTGTCCCGGAACCCCTCTTAGAAATGTCTGGGACTCTGGTCATGCTGTTGAATGACAGTGCTGACCTGAGAGATCTTGCCACATCAGTGGACTCCATTGTGAAACTTCTTAAACTGGTCAAGAAAGTTTCAGGGAAGATGGCCACAGTTTTTAAAACTCATTTTGTCTCCAATACCAAGGATAGCGTGAAATTCTTTGTCACTCTCTATTCCATCATGCAACAAAGTGTTCAAAATCTTGTGAAAGAAATAGCTACTTTGAAAGAAATAGATCATTTCACATTTGAAAAGATAAATGATTTGTTGGTGCCATTTATTGACTTGGCCTTTGAAATGATTGGGGTCGAACCTTATATATCATCAAACTCTGATGTTTTCAGTATGTCACCTAGCATGCTGTCATATTTGAATGAATCTAGGGACTTTTCTGATATTTTGGAAGAAATTGCTGAATTTTTAACATCTGTGAAAATCAACTTGGAAGATGTGAAGAGTCTTGTGGTAGCATTTAAAAATGAAACTCAAACATTTTCTATGGATTCTGTCAACTTGTGGGAAGAAATTCTGAGTTGCTTAGTTCCTATAAATAACATCACCAACCAAATGGACTTCTTATACCCTAATCCAATTTCCACTCATAGTGACCCTCAAGATATAAAATGGGAAATAATTCATGAAGAGATCCCTTTTTTGGATAAAATATTATCACAAAACAGCACAGAAATAGGGTCTGTCTTGAAAATGGTGATCGGTCTCACCTTAGAAGCTCTTTGGAAAAACTTAAAGAAGGATAATTGGAATGTTTCTAATCTGTTGATGACATTTACTCAGCATCCAGATAACCTTTTGGAAACCATAGAAAGAGTTTTAGAGGCCTCCAGTGGAATTAAAAGTGACTATGAAAGTGATTTGAGTAAAAGTTTATATTTTGACACACCTTTGATTCGGAATATAACTCATCATCAACTTGAAAAAGCAATCCATGATGTTTCAAGTAGAATAGCTCTCTGGAGGAAAGGGCTTCTGTTTAACAACTCTGAATGGACAACTTCCACAAGAACTTTGTTTCAGCCACTTTTTGAGATTTTCATTAAAGCAACCACTGGAAAGAATGTCACATCAGAAAAAGAAGAGAGAACCAAGAAAGAGATAATTGACTTTCCTTGTAGTTTCAAACCATTTTCCTGTTTGGAGAAATACCTGAGAGGATTATTTGTATTGACTAAATACTGGCAACAAATCCCACTGACAGATCAAAGGTAATAAAAAGCAAGCCGAATTCACTTTGTTTTTTTCCCTACCGCAGTAACTGTAAAATAGAACCATGCAGGAATTACATTGAACCAGGGTAAGTAGTTTTTCTTGACTTCAACTTTCTTTACACTCTGAAGTTGGCTTCAACATAGAGCAATTCAAGTCCAGTCATTTTTTTCACAATTTGACTCATTATTTGGCATTCAAATATAATTATAATTTATTCAAAATATTTCAAAAGTTAGTTATTTTATTCTCAGAAGCAAAAACCTTTTATTCTATTCACTCGCCCCAAGACTAGCTGCATAAGCAATTTTTCTATTCATATCCTCTGGCAGCCAAGGGTCCAATCACTCAGTATATACACAGGAACATGAAGCTGCTTGCTTCACAGAAAATTATGCCTCCAGTTGTAGCTAACCACAGCAAAGGGCCAGGCAGCTGCTGGCTTCTGCCCTCTTTTGATTCTGCCAAACTTCACGTGTTTGATCCACCTCCAAGCCCTCCCATCCCTGAATGTTATGTCAATAGAAACCTGTTCTTAAAAGCTCCAGTCTTGCTAGTTGTCATGCCCTGGAAGCAGTCTCTTGCCTTAGGTTGGAGACCCTGTGCCTCTTGATGTGCAGAGTCCCAGAGATGCTGCAGCGGTCCCTACCTGGCCTTTCTCTGGGTGACAATACTGTTAGGGTGGTCCCTGGTCTCTGTTTCTCCCTGCCTCCCTCTCTGGCCCACATGGAGATTGGAGATGCCATGTCAACCTTGGTTCATTTGCCAGGCAAGCTGACTTATTTTCTGTCCGTTCTATTACTACAGAGCTGTACCCTGAATCCAGTCATGTTCTATGAGTTGGAAAGATGTCTTTAGTTGGTGAAACAGGTAGCCACTGGCACAAATAACTATTGCTACCTTGGAATTTGACTGCTAGTTTTCAGAGCTTCCTTCTTCATCTCCTCCTTGCTTCTGATCTGAAACTATATTTTGCTTGATTTTAGTGCTCTGATCCCCAACTATATACCCTGTTTGACTTTAGTGCTCTTCTCTGAATTGTCTTTTGAGCTGAGGTGGTCCTGGCAACCCCATTCTCCACCAATCTCAGGTTTTATCTCAAATTTTTCAGTTCTCCACAGAGGGCATTTACACCTTAGCTCTTCGTATGGTCATGTTTTGATGCCCTTTCAACATTTACCTTTGCATTTCAAAAGAATGGACCAAAATAAGAAAGAAAAGCAAATATTAAGCGTATTCACCACAAAATTGATGCTTTACACTAATTTGGGAGACCGAAAGTTTTCTAAAGGTCCAGACTGTGTTATCTGTGTTTTCTTATGTTCCTACGAAGAAAATATGATTATGCAGGGAGGTTCTTACATGTGTGTTATAACTTAGCCTACACAGCAGAAATGCACATTGGATGCACATTTTTACCCTTTCATGTCATTGTTTATATATTTTTTCTAAGTGTTGTTGAGATGTGTGAAGTTTTCCAGCAGCCTGTGAAGCCCTCAGAAGCCATGGAGATCCTGCAGAAAGTGAAGATGATGGTCATACGTGTGCTCACCATCGTTGCAGGTGGGCTGCTCATATAACAAGTGCTCTGCAATTGCCCTGTGCCAGTTTTCAGAACTCGGGTGTCAGAGAGATGAGTAGATTGCACTTGAGTTTCTTTTAGAACAAAGCACAGCTGTCTTAGTCTGGCAACCAGGCCTTGAGGAATCTGCCCCTCCCAACCTCATTCCCACCACTGGGTCTCTGCTCCAGTCAAATTGAACAGCCCCTTCCTGCCCCTTTGCTGGGCTTTCTGGTCTTTTTGTCTTTGCTTATGGAATGTGCTTCCCTTGTCTCCTTGACCTAAACTACAGCCATACTCTGTGGCCTAGAGCTGGGGTATCTTGTCCAGAAGTGTTCCCCCATCCCCTTTACTGGCAAAGACCTCGAAGAGACTTTGATCACATGCAGTTCTGTACTTTCTTCTTTCTTACATCTCCTCCCTCTGCTGCAGTCAATATTTTTTGAAGATAGAAACTGTGTCATAACCTTCTGTGTGCATTTCCTGATGGGTGCTGAGTAGTCCCTGCAGTAACCTGAATTCCCTACAGCTGTGACACTTATTGCTGGTATCATAGTTTTTGGTATCTTCTTTTCCTGCTACAGTCTGTAAGCTTCCTGGGAACAGGATCAGTCTCTTGTTAAATTCTGTGTCTCCATAATACTCAGCACAGTGTCCAGCAATAGTGACTATATTGTAAATGAATTAATTCATCTACTAAGATGATCCTTGCCAAATCCATTCCTGCACATTTCAGTGCAATCTCCTTTCAATGCCACTGCTGAAGGAGAGTCCCACGAGCTGCTTTAGAGGGTAACTGGAGGATCTTAGGGCTTTTCTGAAAATGTGAGTGTTGAATTTTAGAGCACACTTGAGTCCGTGGAATGGACCACAGTTGTTTAAGTGATTCACAGGTGCACAGAGGTGCTGCCATCCTCTGGCCCAGTCTCCTGAGCAGGGCTGCCTAGAGTTCCCTCAGTGGGCTGTCGGGCCTGAGTGCTCTGCCTTAGCTGATGGCAGTGGGTTTTGACAACATGAATCGAAGCCCAGAAGAGGAGGGGCAGCGAGGAGAAATGGGGAAGCTAAGGGTGGATCCTATCAGATCAAGAGGAAAAGAGAAAAGTGAGGGGTCATCTGAGTGGGGCTTACCTCCATATCCTGTGTGAGCTCCACCATGGTTGGCCCCAGACTCCCTGCCCCCTAGCTCATCTGATCCACATGTTCATTCTTCTACCTTCCCCTGATTTACTCCTGGATCATTATTATTATTTAGATTACTATCAGGTTGTTATATTATGATTTGAAGATTAAGTCTTATATCCTTTGGAAAGCTTTCCTTGACCTACCCTGTCTGGGGTCACATGGCCTTAGCTCCCTGTTATGGCTCTTACCACCGTGTGCTGTTCTGATGATGAACATGTGTCTCTTCTACAGTCGTGAGGACCCGAAGACTGTGCCTGTCTATTGATCACTCCAAACCTGGCACATGGGGATTAGAACATGGGAAATGCTGATTGACATTTGTTGAATGAATGAATAAATGCCAGGAGCCCTTCTATACTTAGGTCATGTTTCACTGGAATTACTAAATGTGAAAACTGTTCACGGGGGAGTGTTCAGCAATGAGTAGTGGGTGGGCGGTTGGCATACTCTGGGCCTATGTTGTAAGACTGAGCAAACTGTGGGGGCCTGGGGAGGATATTGTAGAGAGGAGTCCGGTTTACTCAGGAAGGGGCACAGTGGATGTATTCCCAACATCCACTATCAGAGAGGAAGGATCACTGGCCCCAGGATGGTTAACTGGTGGGTATGGGCCACTGAGTCTGTGAGCCAGGAGTATGGACCAGCATCTGCTGGGGAGTGTTATGGAGAAGAAGTGAGCCTTGGATAAATCTAGTATGTGAAATCCATTTTTCAAAACAAACTCAAAGAAGATGAATTCTTCTTTGTATTGATAAGTGCTAGAAAGAAGCTAACGTATGGCCATGAGGGTGAGAGTGAGGGGTGGAGGAGAGGACAAGACCTTGGGAGTGCAGCTCTGGGTAAGGACATTTCAGGTGAGACTGGCGCAAGTGAGGATGTGTGTCTGCCATGTTCACCGTTATATCTCCCCAGGGTTTAGGAAACATCCTGACATAGATATGATAGGCGTTCAATCAATATGTGTAGAAGGATTGGATAGGTCAATGCATGAGGGCTGGCACTAGGCTGGGCACTTGTCACTATTTGAGTTAATCTACACAATCACTGATGGACTTGAAGCTAGTGTGCTGGGACTCGTGGTCTGTAAGGCTGCCTCCTTACTATCATGATAGACCACTTAGGATTACACACCGTCATGTCTGGTAAGGCTTTATTGCTCCAAATGTCTTCAAGGGCATAGTTAAACATGACTGTTACAACAAGTGATGTCGTGAAAAGTGGTGTAATGGAAGAAGCAGGCACTTTGACATTGAACAGGCTGAGTTCCTCGATTCACGCTAAGTGACACAGGGTAGCTACTGAGTCTCTGTGAGCCTTGAGCAAAACATAGGGGAACACATATTTCAACCTATGTGAGAGGATTAAATAAAATAAGTCACCTCCAAGGGGCTTGCCCTTAGGAGATGCCTTGAACATGCTAGTTTCCCATGCATCTCCCTGCCTGCCATTGGGAAAAGTACTTCTCAGCTCACAGAGCTAGTTCATAAGTAAAAATTGGTGATTTACAGACCGTCTATCACGGAGTTTGTTCTAATCTGCTCACTCACCTCTTTTTTTGAAATACAAATTGTTCTTTGAACAGAAGAAGTGATTGGTCATTGGGTCTAAGAAACATGGAAAAGAAGTAAAAAACAGATGGAGAAGTGAGACAAGCTTGATTTAAAAATGAAACCCCAATTGCTGTGTAGGGGTTTTGCATTTTTTTTTTCTTTTAAGATAATCTGTATTTCCAATTAGATGTTATGAACATTGGTGATTAGGAATATTGCTTTCTATTGTCAAATAGAAAGCAATAACATGTTACAATCTAAGTACAAGTTAGGATGGTCAGTACATGATTTCAGCATGTGGAATTGTGCTCAGGTAAAATTCAAATCAAACTTCTTCCTCGTTCTTGAATGCTTCTCTGGCATATTGAATTCAGCCATGTTTGAAGACATAATTATTTTGACATTTCACAGTCAGCTAATGTAATGGTTTTTAAATGAATTAAACATTAGTTAATGTATGAATTTATGTTTATTTTGCCATTCTGTGTTGCAGCTGCTAAATTAATATAGCATACTTGAGATTACATTAGTAACAGATAATTAATTTTTAATTTTTATATTTTATTTCAAGGAAACTCAAGCATAACTAACATTTAAACTGCCACCGCACTGTCCTTATTGAATTGTTACTCCATCCTGTAGAATAGGAGGGCAGTGACAGATCCCATAAAGTTAAAAGGATGGGGTGGAATTGACCAACATGGGTGCCTCTCCCATCATATAAAGGGAAGAAGAGCCAGGTCTGTTATTACTATTGTTGTTGAAAATGCACTATATTTTCATCATATCACAGAGTTGAGCTTAGTATCTCCAGTAGGAAAGTTGTTACTTTCCTCCTCCTGATCTAATGCTTTAAGGATGCCAAGGACAATTGCAGGAGAGCTCATACAATAGAAGGAACCTCAGTGGGCAGCTGCTTTAATCTTCCAGTTTCCCTAATCGACAAATTGAGGCCCAGAGAGTGAGAGTGAGTGTAAGTTTCCCAGGGTTTCAGAGTGAAGCGGTCAGAGCCCATTTCCAGTTGAAGAGACCTGAGAGGGTCCATGGGGCTGAAGGGAGGAGAGGGAAGGGGTCCAGAGAGTGCTGGCAGATCTGGAAAGCCAGAGTGGGTCTGAATGTGTCCTCGGAGCCAAGAAGAGGGGCCATAGCAGGTAGGAAGGGCTGGAGCCAGGGATTTGAAGAGGCAATGAGAGGTGGAGAAAGAGGGTACCTGGGAAAGTTGGAGGAGCCAAGGCTCAAAACCAGCTCTTGCTAGTGTCAAGACAGTTGTCAGGTGTCCTTGAGGGTGGTGACTTTGAGGGCAGGCTTCAAGATGTGTTAGATGTGAGGCAGATGGAGACCAGATGGCCTGACAGCCCAGCACTGCGTCCCATGATCATACCATCCTTGACCTAACCTTGCAGGAATGCTGGGCATGGTCACTGTCGACTCCACGTTCCTCATTTTACATTGAGGAAGCAAGGGACTGACGCAGCCCACAGCTTGCCTAATGCCATACATTATGTCAGCTTTTTCAGGGTGCATTCTCTGCTCTTTTAGGTTTGAAAAACATAACTTATAAACACATTGTTGTGTCTTTCCCGGACCAGAGGATACGTTTATGCTTAAAGATAAGTGCTGTGATATTTAACAGCACATTATCACCTTCATTTCAAATTTTAATAAGAGATTACTTAACAGACACATTTTACATTTCCTGCAATAAAGATATCTGTCTTCGAAATTGGTAAAATGAGATTAATGAGAAAAGAAAAACAGGGCGTCATGGTGGGTTGCTTCTGGAAAGCATGACT